CAGCAGCAGCAGCAGCAGCAGCAGCAGCAGCAATCCCAGCAGCGCAGCGAGGAGCTGCAGCAGCAGCTGCAGCAGCAGCAGCAGCAGCAGCAAAGACTCGAAGCGGAGCTGTCAGAGGCTGTGAAGCAGCGAAATGAGGTGCAGCAGCAGCTGCAGCAGCAGCAGAAACAGCAGCAGCAGTTGCTGCTGCAGCAGCAACAACAGCAGCAGAAGCAGCTGCTGCTGCTGAGAGAAGAAGCAGAGAGAAGTGAGCAGCAGCGCCAGCTGCTGCAGCAGCAACTTGAATGCCAGTCGCTGCAGCAGCAGCAAATAAAGGCAGAGCAGCAGCAGATGCAGCAGCAACAGCAGCAGCTGCAGCAGCTGCAGCAGCAGCAGCAGCAGCTGCAAGCGCAGCTCTTGTCTTCAACGCAGCAGTGCGAGCAGCTGCAGCAGCAGCTGCAGGAGCAGCAGCAGCAACAGCAGCAGCTGCTGCAGCAGCAGGAGACAGAGCAGCAGAAACACAAACAAGAGGAAGTGCTGCTGCAGCAGCAGCTGCATCGCCTGCAAATGCAGCTTCAGAAGCAGCAGCAGCAGCAGCAGCAACAGCAGCAGCAGCAGCAACAGCAGCAGCAGCAGCAACAGCAGCAGCNCAGCAGCAGCAGCAGCAACAGCAGCAGCAGCAGCAGCGCTTGCAGGATGAGCTGCAGAGCAGCAGACACCAATGCCGGGATTTGCAGCAGCAATTAAACACAAAAGAGCAGCAGCTGCTGCTGCTGCAGCAGCAGCAACAGCAGCAGCAACAACGACAGCAGCAACAGCAGCAGCAGCAACAGCAGCAGCAGCAGCAACAACAAAAACAGCAGCAGCAGCTACAAGACAAACTGCTGAGGTGTATTGCTGAGAAGGAGGAATTGCGAGGCGCGCTGCAGCAGCTGCAGCAGCAGCAACAGCAGCTGCAGCTGCAGCAGCAGCAGCAACAGCAACAGCAGCAGCAGCAGGAGAAACAACAGCAGCAACAGACGGAATCATTGCAGCAGCAGAATGAACTGCTGCAGCAGCAGAATGAACAGCTGCAGCAAACGCTAGCAGCAATGGGGCAGCAGCTGCAAGTGCAGCAGCAGCAGCAGCAGCAGCAACAGCAACAGCAACAGCAGCAGCAGCAGCAGCAGCATTCAGAAGAGTATAATCTGCTGCTGCAGGAG